CACAAGTACCTGCCTGGCAAGCAAAAAGTCCAGAGTTCGATTCCTGGTACTGAAAAAGAAAATTAAAATGCAGGCACTTGTATTTTTAAAGAGCTCCTTATATACACGTATGTGTGTGATATAAAATAATGTGATGTGTATTTGTAACAGAAAATGCCTCCCCACCACTATCACCAGTATACTTCAGTTCTTAGTTGTCCAGGTAATAGTTCCTGTTCCATTTCCAGTTGTTTCTGTCTCTTAGAAATGGCTGGTCACTGTAATGCATAGCTGGCCGCTATGATGTACATTGTATAAACCAATCCACAACTGACAAGCCATTCTGCCTCTGTACTTCCTGCTTGCTTATCCCATATAAGCCCTAGACCACTAGAAAGCAGGACCTGATATTTTGGGAATGATCCTGATCAGGGCCTGTTGACGTAAATAAATCTGCCTCCAAATCCTGGGTGCCGTTTCAGTGTTTCTTCTGGCTGTTGCAATATTAACTTTAGAAAAAGACAGTGAAGAGCACAGAGAAGGAATTCCAAGTACAGGCACCATACTGCTGGCCCACTGGCTAGGAACAGGGGACCAAGAGTCAGGACCCCAGCTCTACCCTTCCCCCACCCACCTTCCATTCCAAGAGGCAGGGGGAGCCACTCTCCCTGCCCTGTCCCATCTGTCTACACAGAGTGGGTGACAGGTGCTACATTGGAGCCCCCACCCTAGACTCCATCACACCCCCTGGTGTCCCACAGTGCAGCCAGTGAGGTCACCCTGACACTCCCCTGCCTCCCTGGGCCGCCTGGCTCCAGCTCTGTGCTCCAGACCCTAAGTGGCCTTTGAGACCCACTTCAAATGTCATTTCTTTGGTGCCCTATACATCATGCCTGTTATAGTTTGTGTCTAAATGTCCCCCCAAAGCTTCACACAGTTATGGGGCAGATTTCTGATTGATTCATGGTCCAGGGCTGGGATTATGGGTGTGAGTGCTATACCTGCCCTGGGGCAGGGAGGCTGCCTACAATATAAGGGAGGGAGAAAGGCTTGCTCCATGCTCCTCCCTTTCACTCTTGTTGCTTTTGCTGTTTTCCTGCCACCATGAACTGTTGCCATCTGCCATGTGCCACTCTGCCTTGGAGCCAGCTAAGTATAGACTGAAACCTCCACAAACTGTGAGCTAAATAAACCTTTCCTTCCTTAATTTTGGGTGTTGAGTATTTTGTCTCAGCAACGAGAAAGAAAAGTAACCAAGACAATGCCCTCTGGAGCCATTCTGCACATGCCATGCTCTGCAGCTCAGGGGCATCTCCATGCCTCGGTGTACAGTAGGTGGGCAATAAATGCCTGCAGAATGAGTACATGAGCCACGCCCTCCAGGGAGAGCCACGGAAGGGGTGGGCACAGGGTGCTTACTTGTTGTACAGCACAATGTCAGGCTTCCAGATCTTCTCTGCGGGCACGCGCATGAGCTCCACGCCCCCGTAGTCGGAGGGATTCCACTTCAGCTTGTAGTCATTCCAGATCTGGGGATGGGGACAGCATGAAGCTTAGCCCAGCCGTGTCCTACCCCATTGTAGGTCATTGGGCCACTTTTAGGCTGAAGCCGGGGACAGCAGGAGGCTGAGCCTGCAGGTCCCTCCTGCTCTTGGGAGCCCCTGCCCTACCTGTGGGCAAACCCAGCACCATCCATCCATCCATCAAGACTATTAACAAGCACTTTCTCTGACCACCGCTAGTGCCAGGTGCTGCTCTCAGACCTCTGCATCAGGTCCAGGCCCAAGTTCCCAACCAGGCCCCAATAGCAAGGTGCCTTCCAGCCCTGAGAGGTTCTGGGGAGGAGCCAGGAGCCCACCTGTCCCCAAGAAGTGGCTCTGAAGCACTGGAGGGGACAGAGGTGAGGTGGCTGCAGAGGGAGTGGGTGTCACTGAGCATTGGGGGGGACAGGGCCTGCCTTTGATGGTCTCTGGGACAAGGCTGTGGGAGCTGGAGGAAGGGTCACCAGCAGGGTGGTCACTAGCAAGTCTGGGTACTGTGTTTCTGGAGGTAGAAGCCTTCTGAGGCTAGATACGTGGAGGTCTCAGTCTGAACAAGAAAATTCATTGTCCCAGTCTCCACGCCTACAGAGTCTGATTCTGGTACAGGGAAGGGAAGAAACTGGGGCCAGGGCTCTAGGCCCTGAGCTGTCCCATGTCCTAGCCTGACTGTGGAGAGGGTTCTCTGGCCACAGACCGTCCATCTGTGATGCGGGGGGCAGGTGACTGCCGAGCAGAGTGTGCGACCCTCGGTCCAGGAACTGCCCTCCCCGCCTCAACACACACCCAGCGCCTCACCCAACTCGGTTTCCACCCGTACATCAGGAAGTGGCCACCAGGGGGCAGCAGTCGCTGAGCAGCAGCTCACCTGTTTGAGCCACAGGTTGGTCTCCATGATCTGGTTCACTTCATCCTGGAGAGAGATGGAAGCAGACAGATGCCCACATGGCCAAACTGCTCCGGGAGAGACCCCAGGCCCGCAGCCAGCCCTGCACTCACCACCTTCACCAGTTGAGACATGGACACCTCGAACTGGATGATGACCGGGTTGGACACGTTAGCCACGGGCCGGATGATTTCGTTGTAGTCCTGGAACAGGTGCTCAAACAGGCGGTGCTCGGCCTCCGAGGAGCGGACCACTGGGGGGGAGGCAGCCCCATCAGCCCCAGAACATTGCTCCCCGCCTCTCCCCCAGGAACATCTCCATTCCTCAAGCCACAGATGGGGAAAGTGAGGCTCCTGAGGAACAGGGTTCTGATCACAAGCGCTCTGGGCTCTGACGCTGGACAGACACACAAGCACATCTTGACGCCAAAGAGCCGAGCGAGCTCGGTGAGGCTTCGCTTGGCTGAGCTCCAGTTTCGGTGGCCGTCAAGTGGATCGCGCACATGCCTGCCTCGAGGGCTGCGCCAGTGCCAGCTCAGGGACCTGGTACGGCTCGGCGACCCTCACAGGTGTTATCACCACAGGGGGCGTAGTGATCGCTGCTCACGGAAGGAACGACTGGCGGGCGGGCCCAACCGGGCCCTGGCCACCCCTGGTCCCCGCCTGGGCTGCAGCGCCACCCTGGGTCTGCGTGGGCTCGGCCTTCAGCCTCTTTAGTGCCAGGGACCCGTCCCTGCTGTCGACGTCACCTGACCGAGCCCTCCCTCCGGAGCCCGCGACCCTTTGTTCCCAGCACAGGGCTGTGCCTCTCTGCAGATGGGACGAGGGGACCACGGCGCCCAGGGAGCGACCGGTCCTGCAGGGCTCGTAGAGTCGCAACCCCCACCTTGCTCCAAGGAAGAAGGATGCGAAGGCGCGCTGGGGAGGGGGGCAGCACCGAGGGCGGGGACAGCTCCCAGGGACCTGCATCCTTCGGCGTCCACTGGCCACCCCGGGGCCACTCAGATCACCGGGGCCACTCCGAGCCACCCGGGCCACCCTGAGACACCCCAGGTCACCCGAAGCCTGGCGGGCGGGGGTCACGGGGGCCACTGTCGCTCCCCGGCGCCCGGGACGAGTCCCTTTGGTCCCCAGCTGTGAAGTGGGCAGGGAGCAGACGCGGTCCCAGGAGGACCCAGGACGCCCGCTCCCTTCTCGGGACCCAGGAAGGGAAGAGACGGGAAGGAAGAGGGGGCGCCCGCCGGACCCCCTCACCCCGCTTTCCAGTCTGCGTGTCCGACCCTCGCGGTACCTGGCGGCAGCAGCAGCAGCAGCAAGAGCAGCGCGGGCTGCGGCGAGGACGACGGGCGGGCGCCCATAGCGGGGACGCAGGGACCGTGCGGACGGAGCGGACCCGCCTGGCCCGCCTCGCTCCACCCGGGTTTGCACAGCTGGAGCCCGGGCTGCTGCCTCGGACAGGGCGGGGCAAGGGGGGCGGGCTCGGCGCGGGGCCTCGGGCGGGGCTTGCAGCGGGGCTTGCAGTGGGGGCTCTGGGCGGGGCTAGTGGGGGCGGGGCTCTGGGCGGGGCTAATGTGGGCGGGGCTCTGGGCGGGGCTAATGTGGGCGGGGCTCGTCCTGGGTCTCCTGCTCCCTCTTCTGAGTCCCCGCAAGTACCCCCAGCAAGGCCCGCTCGGTCCCTGAGTCCCTGCTCGGCTCCCGCAGGCTGGGGCCCTGGGTGATGCGCTGTAGTGCTGGACGTTTCGGGGCGACGTGGGTTTCTGCTTGTTTTTAAGTCGTAGAGTTCAGGGAGGGGCCGGTGGGCTGGAGTCAGTATAAACAGCGGTGATGAGGTGACCCCTGCTCAGAACGGTAGCTCGGTTCCACCGTTCTCTCCACTTTAGAATATGTTTGAAATGCTCTTTACTAAGAAGTAGAACTAAAGAAAAAGAACTTAACAGTAGACTTGAAGCAATCGGAGGGGACCCGACTCCCCACGACCCTGCTAGGCGTCCTCTGCTTGCCGCTGTCTGCAACCCTGGGGTCTCTGGGCACCCAAAGGCTTCCTAATGTCTGTGGGAGAAAGTAGTCACCCACTGTCATGGTCCCCACAAACAGGCAAAGCCTTTAGCACCTCCAAAGCTTCACCATTTAAACCAAAACACCCGCCTCCAGGACAACAGCGTTCACCTGGTGTTTTTCATTAAAGGGAAAGAAATCCCCTCTGTCCTGTGGGAATCTAAGCACAAAGCCCTTGTGTGTTGGAGAATGACCAGGGACACGCCCAGGGAGGACATATGTGGCCGTACTGGAGACGTCTGGGTTCAGGGTCTCCATCGGGAAATGGGGTGGGGGACCGCGTGGCCTGTTATACACTTAGCTGTGTACTCCACCGTGTAATCCTTATTGCCGCTTCCCTGCAGGCAGCGTGAGAGCCTGCGCTGGGTGGCCAAAGGACAATGATGACGTACTTGTCACCAAGCCTCTCTTTGTCCCGGGCAGCAGTGCTTGCTTGTTGTCATTCTCCTGGCAAAAGCTCCTTCATTTGGAAAATCTGGTAAATCACATTATTCACCAAAGGACCTGTATCTAGAATATATAAATAACTCTCAAAGCAAAGTAGTTGGCATAGCTGGGTACAGGGTTTTCCTAGGAGTCCTAACTCTGGACTATGATGAGTCATTTTAAAACACATTGGATCATATGTGATAAAATGGATGAACTGTGATATACAATTTATACCTCAATAATGCTCTTTAGAAAGTTCAGCAATGAGAAAAACACAACCTAGTTTTTAAAATGAGCAAAGGCAGTAAAGACACTTCCCCTCAGAGGATGACAGAAGCAAAACAATGTTCAGTGTCCCTAGCCACCAGGGAAACAAAACTAAATGAAAACCAGGGTGCTGTGCCCTGTCACACCCAGGACGGCTGAGATAAAACAAATGCTGTTTGATACACACACAAGGTGCCAGAGGGACAGGATCGCTTAGACTTCTGGACAGGACTGCCACTCCAGAAAGTGTCATATAAGGTTACCCATTCTCTGACCATGTAAGCCAGCGATCACATGCTGAGTGTTTATGTAGAGAAATGAACATTTTTGCTGATACCAATCCTGTGAATTTTTTTCTTTTAGCTCTATTCACAGTTGCCCCAAACTGGAAGCAGCCTATGTGTGTGGCCGTATTTATGAAGACAACACTGTCCAGGCCAGGGATATAGCTCAGTGGCATAAGTGCCTGCCTGGCAAGTGCAAGGTCCTGAGTTTGATTCCCAGTACAAAAAAAAGAAGAAGAAGAAGTAGGTCACTAAGTCCTGCCACACTAAAGGGGAGGAAAATTAGGCACCGTTTTTTTGCCAGGTGTGGTGGTACATGCCTGTAATCCCAGCACTCGGGAGGCTGAGGCAGGAGGATCATTGAGAGTTTGAGACCAGCCTGGACTACAAAGTGAGCTCAAGGCCAGCCTGAACTGCTAGTGAGACCCTGACTCAAAAAGAAATAAAACAAAATAAAACAACAACAACAAAAAACACTTCCCAGCACACTGAATGCCACATTTTGGATTCCTTCAGCAGCCTGGGCGAACCTGGTAAATCTGAAAGGCATTGGGCTGAAGGAAGAAGCCAGGCTCAAAGGGGAAGCTGTGGGTGATGGATCTCCCCTGGGTTCCAATGTATCCATTACACAAGTCTATACCTGTGTTAAGTTCAGAGAATTACACGTTTAAAGTCAATTTTATTGTGTGATAATTTTTAAAAAGAATCTTTAAAATGTTCTTCTCCATCCCATAACATTCTAGGCGCCTGTGATGTGCCAGGCGTTGTGGGAAAGATCGTGTGCAGGAGGAACTGATCCATGTGGTGGGGGTGACAGAACTGAGCCGGCCTGATGGACAAGCAGGAAGTGGCCAGAGCTTCAAGGACCCAGAGGAGGCAGCCACTTCCTCCAGGGTGGGCTGGGGACAGAGGAGGGCACAGGAGCTTGAAGGAGGAGTAGGAGCCGCCTGTTCTTTTAACACACATTTATTTTGCACCTGCTGGGTTCCAGGCTCTGTCCCTGGTTTCAAGCCCCTGCTTTCTGGAGTGCACGCTCCAGGGGTGAGAAGCGAGCCACCAGATAAGGACTGCTGGTCCTGAGGGGCTTGAGGCTGTGACGTGGTCATGAGAGAGGCTGCTTTAGGACGGGGGAGCAGGGAAGACCTCTAGGAGGAGGTGACATTAGAGCAGAGGACCACAGGAGCAAGCCCTGACCAATGAAGCTGTGGAAGTGTGGTCAGAACAGGTGTGGGGAAGTTGGGGAGGTGGCAAAGGCTCTCAGCCGCAGAGGAACTGAAAGTGTGCATGGGGCTGGAAGGCAGGCAGAGAGCCCAGTGGATATGGGTGAAGGAAGAGGCCTGGCACATAGTAGGTGCTTCCAGTATGCACATAGTAGGAGCTGCTGTATGTTCATATCACCCCCAAGTCTGACATGGGAGGAATTCTCCTGTCTGAAGCTCCCCCACCAGGGCTCAAACTCAGGCATTTGGAGAGGACAGTGCAGGCCCCCATCCTGTGCCTCTCAAGGCCATGGCTGGTTTGATTGTATCAATTGCTGATGGTCACGTGGCTATTTAGCTCATCCACAGTGACCCAGGAGGAAGCAGCCCTCTGCCTGTCTGGTAGCACACGTCATCCCACCCCATTAGCAAGGGGGCCCTGGACATGCTGGGCAGGCAGCCTAGGGCCCCTCGGAAGGCAGGTGGGCCTGGAAGAGGGGCGGCAGGAAGAGCCCCACCGTGCCCAGGATGCACACAAACACGAACACCCACAGGAACAGCCGGTCCACCACCATAGCCACATACTTCCAATCCTCAATGACCTGCGGGCAGACAGAGGGGCTGGTTATGGGTGCTGTGCTGCGGTCCTGCCCTCCCTGACTCAGCTCTTGGCATTCGGGCGGGGCCCCTGGAGGCTACATGTGGGCTTCAACTGTGCACCAGTGCAGCAAATTCCAATTCCCAGCTGGCATCAACTGGCAACTCTGGGCCACTCTGGACCCTACCCAAGAGCCACCAGGAGCTTGGGCTGTGCAGAAAAGTTAGGACTGGAAGGGGTCATGAACCTGTAGTCCTTCTGATCCTGTGGGTTCCCCAATCCACGGATGCTCAGGTCCCTCACACAGAAGGTGGTACCACGTGCATATAAGCTCTACACTCTCATGCATACTCTGATCCCCTGTAGATACGTACTTATGACACCCACTGCACCGCAGAGGCTGACTAAATAGCTGCTAAGCTGCATTATTTAGGGAATAACATGAAGTCTGCACACATTCAGTACAGAATTTTTTTTCTGAATATTTTTGACACATAGTTGAATCCACGGATGGAGAACCAGAAGACAAAAGGCTGCTTATACCACCAATTTGTGACGCAAAAACCCAATCTGGCTATAAATAAAGGGGGCTGAGGCCTGAGGCACACAAGGCCCCTTATTCTCATTTTTGGCACCAGCTGGCTCTATGCAGAGGTACATTTGGGGCCCCCTACTTTACTAGGCCAGGCACTGGGTGCTTGCAGAGCTACCTGGATGGAGATGGTGCTCTTTTTTTTTTTGGTTTCGATTTTTCTCCAGTACTGGGAACTGAACTCATGACCTTGCGCTTGCCAGGCAGGCGCTTTGCCGCTGAGCTAAATCCCCAGCCCCTAGAGAGATGGTGCTCTTTACTTTGTCCAATTCCGTTCACAGCAGTGGCTGCTACTTCCTATAAATAAGACTGAGCCTCCTCCAGCCTCATCATCTGGCTCTATCTGCCCTGCCCCATCTCTCTCTCTCTCTGTTTCTCTCTGTCTCTCTGTCTCCCTCTCTCTCCGTTGTCCTCTCAGGCCCTTCCGTGGGGTGACATTGGCTGAGACCTGGCTGGCCTGCAGAGGTGTTGTTGCAGATGTGCCTGCATCCTTAGCCCTGAGGGGCAGGGCCCAGGAAGGCCAAGTGCCCAGCATTCTGAGCTCCCCAACCCCTGGCCTAGAAGGCTCCCAAGCAGCTCGAGTTGGAAACACGGACAGCATGTACAACCTGATACCAGTGACCCAATTTGTCAGGGGCCCTCTATGGTGTGCATCTACCCTACAGGACAATCCTGTGTCAAACTAGCCCCTGAGACCCCACCAAATATGCCAGGCACCCATCCCTGAGATGCAGCAGCCCTTCAAAGTGCTCCCCCAGGGGCTGGGGATTTAGCTCAGCGGCAAAAGCGCCTGCCTGGCAAGCGCAAGGTCGTGAATTCGGTTCCCGGTACCGGAGAAAAACCAAAAAAAAAAAAACAAAAACAAAGTGCTCCCCCAATCACGCCTGGCTTGCCTGGGTCTCTTCTTGTCAGCCCCAGTTCCAAATGGCTTGCATGTGTGGTTCCCCCTCTTTTTATCCTTCTGTGCTATTTACGATAACTAGTGAATCACTGGGGAGGGGGAAGATGTTGGAGAGCAGGAGCAGTGCCTGGTGCTGAGGGGTGGGTCCTGCGCCCCAAAGCGGGGACTGACTTCTGCAAGGACACAGGATGTCCGGCAACCAGTGTGCAGGGCCAGCCTGAGAGAGACTAATGATGGTAGGACTATCCAGGAGTACAGCCTGGCTCTGCCGGGCACCAGCTGTGGGACTCCTGCAAATCAGGAAATATCTCCCAAACACACTGTAAAATGGGGCTTCTGGGGGATTAGAATTGAGGCACGTCTGCTCCAGGCAGAGCATCTAGTGCAAATTTGGAGCTATGGGGCTGATGCTGGTCTCACAGTTGCATCCTACCAGGCTCCATCCCCAGAGGCTAAAATGAATAGAGCTCGGGGCTGGTGAAGCCTGTAGCAGAGAGGGCTCAGGATGGGTGCCTGCTTGGCCAGGGTGCGGGCCAGTGCTTTTCAGTCTGGCTGTGCACATACATTGCCATGGATCCATTTAGAAACACAGCTCCTAGACACTTCCCTCTGAGGTTCTGGCTCAGCCCAAAGGGCTACCTTGAAGCTTATTCTGTGGTTCTGGGTTAGCCTGCAGGGTCCCAGAATGCCTATTAATGTCTGGGAGCCAATGGATTAGGTAATGTTAAGGTCTTGGGTGATTTTCAACTAAAGAATAGCATGCTCAAGCCAAGTGTGATGGTACATGCCTGTAATCCCAGCCATCTAGGAGGCTGAGGCAGGAGGAGCACAAGTTGGAGCCCAACCTGGGCAATTTAACATGAGACCCTGTCTCAAAATAAAAGCAAGTAAAAAGACTTGGGGATGTAGCTCAGAGAAAAGGCCCTGAGCTCAATTCCTAGTACAAGAAGAAAAAGAATAGCACAACCAAATCAATGTTTTAGAAGGTGAAATCCTAAGAAGCTGCTTCTCAACCTGGAATGTGCCCAGAGCCCTTGTTATCTGGGGTGCACCTAGGATGGCAACTTCGGGTTCTGTCAGGGGCCTGGGTTGGGCCTGAGAGTTTAGGCTTTTAGCAAGCCGCAGACAGTGCTAATGCTGCTGGCCCGAGGTCTATACCCTCAGCAGTGGCGGTGTGGAAAACCTCATGCCCTAGATTCCTTCTGTTCAGAGCTCCCCTCTCTCTGCTCTGTGTGACATGGAGCTTTCCTGGCCTGTGCTTCTCCAGCCGTGCTAACTAATGGACCACAGGGCTTTCCCTCGAGAGTACAGCCAGGGAAGGAACTGCAGAAAGACAGGAATGAGGAAATGTCCTCTTTTCTCCATGCCGCGGGGGAGGGGGGCACAGACAGCGTGTTGTGCTGTCAAAACCTGTCCGGAGAGGGGCTGGGGATTTAGCTCAGCGGCAAAAGTGCCTGCCTGGCAAGTGCAAGGTCGTGAGTTCAGTTCCCGGTACCGGGGAAAAACAAAAAAAAAAACAAAAAAAAAAGAACAAAACCTGTCCGGAGGATCTGATCTGGCCTGTGTGGAAGTGAGGCCGTGCACACCAGCACGGCACTTGTGCTGCCTGGGATGAAAACAAGTGTGGAAATGTCCAGCTATGATGATCGTGTCCTGTGTTTAGGTATAAAACCCCCCTAGACCTCTTACTTACTCATGGCTTTGCCCTGTGACTGTGAATTTCATCTCGTTTTAGGATATCTTTTGTCACCCACTTGACCACTTTTTAGCTGGTAGCAGTAATATTTTACTTGATGGTCCCGACCCCCTGAACGCTATAAATGCCTGTGTGGTGCCCGCCCTCCTACATCCCAAAAGGCTGCAGAGTCTTTCAGCCCATGACAGTCTCCTCAGGCCCTACCCTCCTCTCCTCCTCTCTGCCCCAGAGCTTTCCCCAGCACCCAGCCTGCACGCTCTGGGCAGACGGTGAAGCCGGGGTGTGCAGGCACACTAACTAATGACCCTGGCTACAGTCAGCGTATGGGGACGGGTACTGGTGCCTCATGGAGAGGAAGGTGGGTTGTAAGTATTCCGAGTCCTTCCATGGATTTGATGCTGGTCCCCACGGGCCCCGGGGCTCTCCACTGCAAGTGTGGGGCCTACGGTGGTGTCCTGCTGATGCCCTGCAGTGCTTCCTTCCAGTCTCCATGTTGTACTGTGCATCCCAGTCACCTCTCAAACTACCTGCCCCCAACCCCATCTCAGGTCTGCTTTGGGGAAACCCAGAACAAATACAAAAAGACCATTGCTACTTCCTCCTCCTTCCCCTTCCTTGAAGCTATAGGAAAATGCATTTCAGCTGTGGGTTCTTTGCTGGATGAGTGACCCAGCACCTATGAACTAACTGCAGGAAAAGGGAAATTTACTGTCTGAGCCCCTTCCCCAGGCAGGCAGGTGGAGCTGGGCTTGCCACTTACGCTCTGGTCCCGATCGTCGCTCTCCATGTGCTGGGCAATGAAGCTGACCCCCTCCAACGCTTCCCGCACATCCTGGCTGAACTTTGCAGAGGACCTTGGCCGGAAATCCCTGGTGATGCCCGAGGTGTGGGAGCCAGCCGGGGACTTGGGCGTGGACGGGCTACGGTTCACAAAGTACATGGAGTTGCTGTAGAGGTTGGCGGAGCCAGCAGCGGCCTCAGTCTTAGTGGGGTGTGGCTGGCCGGGCTGGGGAGCCTCCGCCAAGCTACTGTCCAGGCCCAGGCGCCTCATGAAGAGGAAGGTGGGTAGCTTGTACAGGAAGCAGCGCTTGACCCAGGGCGCCATGGTGTGCGTGCTGGGTGAGCGGTGGTGCACGTTGAGCACACACACGGTGGTGACGATGGAGAAGGTGACCAGCACCATGGTGAACATGAGGTACTTGCCGATGAGGGGCACGTCAAGTGAAGTGGGCGGCACGATCTTGGAGATGAGCAGCAGGAAGAAGGTGAGGGCCAGCAGCACGGAGATGCACAGTGTCATCTTCTCACCGCAGTCAGACGGCAGGTAGAAGACGAGGATGGCCAGCGAGGTGATGAGCACACAGGGCACGATGAGGTTGATGGTGTAGAAGAGCGGCTTGCGCCGGATGATGAAGTCGTAGGTGATGTCCACGTAGGTGGGGTCCAGGGGGTCCACCATCCTCCGCCCCGGGAGGGCCACGATGTCCCACTCGCCACTGGGCGTGAAATCGTCTATGGTGGCTGTGGGAGACATCAGGACCATGTCGATCTCCGTGTGGTCGTAGGTCCAGGAGCGGAACTTGAGGGTGCAGTTCTGCTGGTCAAAGGGGAAGTGCCCCACCTCGATCTTGCAGGCACTCTTGTAGATGGCAGGAGGCACCCACTCGATGCTGCCATTGGAGCGGAGCACCACGTTGGTGTAGACGGACACTTCATAGGTCCCGTCGGCACTGGGTGGGAACAGGGCATAGGGGAGAGTGCTGTGAAACCCACTGATAAGGCTCCGCACAGCACCCCCGGAGATTATTCCCACCAACCACCCATCAACACTCACCCACCCCCATGAGGCGGGCCTGCTTCATTTGGTGTCTGATGGTAGAGATGGCCTTACTGCAAAACAATCTGAGACTTCACAGGAAACAGCTCATTTAAGCCTCCCATAGTCCAATGGTGTGTGTGTGTCTTGTTATTATCCCCATTTTACAGATGGAAAAACCAAGCTCAGAGAAGTTAAATTACTTCTCTCAAGATCAGAAAACTAATTAGTGCAGCTGAGATTTGAATTCAGGTCTGTCTGTCCCTCAATTACATACTTGTTTGTTTGAGACACAGTCTTGCTGAGTTGCCCAGGCTGAACGTCTGGGCTCAAGCAACCCTCCTGCTTCAGCCTCCTGAGTAGCTGGGACCATAGGCACTCATGACACTGTGTTTAGCTTCATCTACCTACCTTTAATCATTTCATGCTATTGTTGGTATAATTACAACCCAGGGGGACCTGCAGGTACATGCCACCACACCCAGGCTACCTCTTTGCACATAGTAAGGCACTGCTACTCAATATTGACGGAAGCTCAGAAAGACAACAGAAGAAAGCAGAGCTGGATTAGGGTCAGAGCTATCCTGGCTCCAGGTGGGCCTGCATGTTTCAGACAAGGCTCCTCTCCTTGCTGGACCTCGAAATTCCAGTTTCAGCTGAGCTCTGGCCCTGAGCTCTTCTTCCAGTCTGATGGCCAGAAGCCAGAAGCACCAAAGGGGTGCAGGGCTGGAAAGGGCCTTGTTGTCCCCTAGAGTGGGGCCTGCAGCCATGGCTGCCACCCAGGCCCTGGCTTCTCTGCAGTAACTCACTTGTTGTAGAGCACGATGTCCGGCAACCAGACACGCTTGGACGGGATCCTCAGGATGTTCACGCCCTCGTAGCGGGAGATGTTCCAGGCCAGGCGGTAGTCAGTCCAGCACTGAGCAAACAGCAAGGCTGTTGTCACTCATAGGTCTGTCTCCACCCGCCTAGAGTGGCCTGGAGGAGACACTGCCTGGGCTGGGACCCTGCAGGGCACTTACCTGCTTCAGCCAGACGTTGGTGGTCATGATCTGCTCTCGCTCATTCTGGGGAAGGAGAAGGGGCAATGAAGAGCATGGACTAAGCTTTATCCTGAAAAAGGCTCCTGGCTAGTGTGACTGGCTGCCACTCGAAGATCTCTTAGGCGACTCAAAGGCATTTCACAGTCAGGATGTAGAGGCGAAGCTCTTGGTCTTCCCCAAGCCTGGCCCCACTGGTATCTCGCGTGGCACTGTCATCCTGTTCAGCAAGCTGGAAGCCCGGGAGTGGCTTCTGACCCGCCAGCGGGTGCTGTGGACTGATGTCCCACCCGCACCTCAGGTCTGTCGGCTTCTTTCCATCTTCACTGCCACCAACATCTGTCACCTGGACCACTGCAGCCACATCCTAACTGGTCCTGGGGCTGCCCTGCTCTGACGTCAGTCATTTCTCTACCCAGACCCTGGGGTGATCCCTGTGGAAGCTCAATGTGGACCATGGGTCTTTGCTCAAAACCTCCTGCTTCCCCAGTGTATCCAATGCAAAGTCCAGCCCAGGTCCTACTAGGCCCTGCTCACCTTTCCCCCTACCCCATGAGCTCCATGAGCTGGCACCTCAACACACTTCCACACACTCTCCCACAGTGGTTACACTGGCCTCCACTCCATTCCTGGAAACCCACACACACAGCTTCCTCACCGTCTTCGGGTGTCAAAATCATTCCCTTATTGGAGAAACCTCCTCAAGTTCCTACATAAAATAGCCCCCTCCTCCCTCTTATCCTGCCTTGTCTGTCTTTATAGTGATTGTTGCCACTAGGCAACATCTATCTTTTTGTGTATTAACACCACTCCCATGAGGATCCAGCTCCCACACAGCTCCAAAGACCATGAGCAAGGATGACATTGCGAAGAGCACCTAGAATGTGTCAGATACCTGATGATCATGTTCAGGATGAACACAGGGGCCTGAGGCTCAGGATCCAGGCCACGCACATCTGTCTCTCCCTGGACCACACAGGACCTCTGCACTGGCCTGTTTCTACTCTGCACACCACTACCACACATGCACACACACCACACACATGCATACCACACACACACATACACACGCGTGCATACACACAAGCACACACTACACACACAACACATAGGCATATACAGTACACATGTGCATGCATACTCCTGCATGCATACTCATACAGGCATACTCACACACATGGGCACACTACAGACATACACATACACTACACACATGTGTACAGGCACACATATACACATGCATGGGCGCATATCTCTTTCTTCCTCTGCAGCCAGGATGGACTTTCCCAACCTTCTGCCTTTCCTTTCTCCATCTCATTCTGTCCGGGTCAACTTCACACACAGGATCTCCATGGGACTCCTCTATGGATCCAGGCCAACTGTAACATCCTGTCCACTACCCCAGCCTTGACTCACCCCCTGTGCTTCCCTCCCCTCTGCTGCAGCCCCAGCCTATTGCTCTCTGCATGCATCCTGCACCCCTTCTCCTGCCTCTGGCTCATCAAGGTCACGTGCAATGTCCCAACTTCAGCCTGGTGGACACGTCTTCCAGCAAGCTGTTCTGAGCCCCCGCTAGATAAGAGCCTCAGTAGGACAAATGCCAGTTGCCAAGAGCAGAGCAGAGCATCAAAGACCTCAAGTAGAAGTCTGTATCCCTCTCATGTCATTTTTAGAACAGACATGGTGGTCCCACTCAGAAAACCTCAGGTGTCCGGGTTCCTTCCAGCTTCTTCTTCTGCTTAGAGCAAGGCCCTCATCTGCATGGCTCAGGGTGGTTACTGGGGTTCCAACCACAGCATCCATATCCCAGGCTACTGGAGTAGGGGCGCCCAGTGTGTGTGTGTGTGTGTGTGTGTGTGTGTGTGTGTAGGGATGTGTGCCAGTGATCTCATTTTGATTATTTAGGCCATTTACATTTAATGCAGCTGCTGACCGACTGGCAGTCTCTGATTTAGAATTCAAATTGTGATTTGTCTCACTTTACAATGGATTTATCCAGGAGGTAAACACAACTTTGACTTATAGCATTTCTGACATATAATGGATTTATGGGGACACAATCCCAACTCAGGTCAAGAAGAATCTGTATTTGTGTTTAAACCTACCATCTGCTTGTTTTCTGTGTACTGTATTCCATTTTCTGTACTTGTTTTATTATTTGTTCCATTTCTCCCCATATTGACATGCCTCTTCCTTTGGTAGTTACCCTAGTGACTGCAGCATATACATTGGACTTTTTAGAATCTGATACTTCCAGAACAAGCAAGGACAGCAGAATGGTCCAACTCCATCTATGCCCTCTTTTGGGGGCGTAGATGTCATGTGTTGAATTTTGGAGCTATGACTGTCATGTGTTGAATCCTACATGCAGTGCAATTAAAACCTTGTAAGACATTTCTGCTATTTTACAGTGTTGATGTCAGCACAATCCACCTGTTCATTTATCCTCTGAAATCTGGGATCATTTTCTTAATGGCAAAAGAACAACCTTTAGCATTGGATCTTCTGGTGTTACCTACTTTTTGCCTGAAAATATCTTTACCTTCATTTTTGAAAGAGAACTTCAAAATCCTTGCATAATCCTAGATTTGCAGGGTTTTTTTTTTTTCCCTCATACTAGATTAAAAGCATCACTCAGTTTTGTGACTTGAGCCACTCAGATCTTGGGCGCACCCTCAGATGAGTTTAAAAGATGCGTTACCATTATACCTTGGCTCCTTTCAGGCATGGAGCCTTCAGTCACCAAAGACTGCCTGTGTCTGGACACTGCCCCTCACACCTCACTCTTCTGGCTATGCCCCGGGGCCTGAGGGACCCTGCTCCCCACCTCAAGGCTCGCTTCACAAGGCCTGCATTTCTCACCCAGCGCCAACTCCTTGCCTGCGCCCTAGAAACTTCCATCACTAGGGTGCTGTACCTCTAACCATCCCTCTTCAAAAAGAAAATAAAACCTGGGAAATGGAAAGGACTCCCACCCTTAAGACAGACACTTGCTTTACAGACAGGCTTGAGGGAATGTGACTGCTCTTAGCGGTACACAGGGGCAGAGGCAAGGCCATGTCTCCTCTCCTCTGGCAGCCTCTGTCACCCTACAGGACCCACGGAGCAGCTGCCTGCCTGTTCTCTCTCCCCTGGGCAGGAGCTGGGTTGCAGCACCCAGAGCTCATCCATCGCCCAGCATGGACCTGCCTGGAGCCCTGGAGCCACCAATCTGTACACAGCAAGGAGGGAGAGGGACAAAGAGCACAGGGCTCTCCAGCCTGCCCGTCACCTTCCTGGGCTGGGCTCCCCTCACCTCAGGAGGTGAAATCTGGCCAGGGCACTGCAAGTTTGGGAGCCGGGTTTGTGCAGGGCCAATGATGCTGCAGAGAGGAGGGGATTAGGAAGGTAGCCATCCTCCCTGAGGATGCTGTACCTGCCCCATGTGACCCCCCTCGGAGCTGCTTCAGGAGCAGTGTGGGCACATGGTAAGGCCTGCAACTGGCCAGAATCCCCTTGGAAACATCAACTGAGGACAGCGAGGGGAAGGGAAATTCTCTGCCACCCCAGCCTGCCCGAAACTGTGTCCCCACCCACATCCACACACTGAGACGTGGCACCCTCCCCGTGGGTGCTGCATCCTTGCCTCCTTTACACACCTGGTCAGATCTTCACCACCCTCTCCAATCTTGCCCCACACCTGGGCTTCTGCACCCATGGGCCTCCCAGTCTGGTTTCCGTCTCCCCAAAAAGGAGGGGTATGTGAGCTTCCCTGGGGAGCAGGCTGTGGAACAGTAGGACAAGGAGAAGCCACAGTGTGTTGGAGAGCAGAGCCCCTGACGGGCCAGCTGGCAGCCACCTAAGGGTCACCTACCCCCTTTCTCCTTTGGTAATAAACCGTGATTTCATTAGCTATCAGATACTCACTGACCCAGTCCCCTCACCATGTGCTGACAAAACAAAGCCAACTACGAGAATTCTACTTCTCTCACCAATGACCAGGCAGGGCTCAGGCGCATGCTAAAGCCCTTACTAATGATGTGCAGGAGGCCATCCAGGGGACACGTCTCTGAGAAAGTTTTCCTGACTCAAAAGGTTTGCCTTTTCCTGCCAAGGACGTTGTTGTGTGAGGACCTTATGTTTGGAACAGTGGCTGCCATCTTGGCACCATGAGGGAAAGACAAGAGACTTGCAGGCTTGTGACATCACTGACCTCTGCCTAGGGTCCTGCAGTCCTCGAAAGTGTGGCCTGCTCTCTTGTTATGAGACATCAGACATGTTTTTATTGTATTAACCAAGCTTAGCTGGATGGTCTGTTCATGCTGAAGCATTTTTAATTTTTATTTGGTTGCCAAAGTATCTTAACTGATGTTGAGATCACAGATTTGCAGGCGGCTGTAAGCCATGGATTGAGGGTACACAAGAGGTCAGGCCATCCCCAGGCAAAGAGAACTGCACATGTGCAGATGCAGCTAGCATTTCTGGATGAAAGACTCATAACTCAGGGACAGAGTCCCAGACCTTAACAGTGAAGCAAATTCCTTCGTTTATGAATATGGAAAAAGACCATGTCTTAAGGGAGCAGAGAACAGAGCTTGGTGACCACAGCCTGGGAAGGGTGTGGAGGAAGGTTGGTAACGGGTGCAGGAGTGCAGTTGGCAGGAGAATAATGTCTTAGTGGGATAAGTGTGGTTGACAACAATTAACTGAATATTTCACAACAGCAGATAGGACTTTGGATGTTCTCAACACAGAGAAACGCCATGTCTTAGACTATAGATGCGCCAGCTACCGCTCCTGTGGCCATGACACATTGTATCATGTAGGCACATGAGACACTGTATGCATGTACTGAATGTTACACTGCACCCCATTTATATATAGGAATATCATGTGTCAGATATATAGATAGATAGATAGATACACACACACACACATACATACATACACACACACAATTTTTTAAATATGCGAAAGATGAACACTGAGAAATCTGGGCAAAGCCAGAAGTAAAGCTCGGGTCGCCCAATCCCCACCCTGCACGTGGATGTGGGGAGCTGGGGGAGGGTGCTGACCCTCTAGCCTTCTCCAGAGCCCTGGCCCGGCCCCTCCACACCCTCCACACCTACCACGCTAATGAGCTGGGCCAGGGACAGCTGCAGGCGGATGGAGACGAGCTGTGAGGAGCTGGTGGCTGGGCGGATGAGGTTGTTGTAGCGCGTTTTGTTCAGCAGGTCGTCCATTAGCTTCTCCTCAGCGTTGGCCAGGCGGCTGTCCCCTGCAAATCACACAGGCAGACCCACAGGCCCTCATCAGCTACAGTGAAGAAAGGGACAGCCGTGAGAACTGGGAGCGTGGATACCTTCGGGGTGGCTGAGGCATCCGGGGTGCAGCAGGCCAGCCTCTCCTCAGGGACCTCACACTGGACACAGCCACAGCACAGCTCAGCATCCTTCCTGCCTTATCCTTCTCTTCCTGCTGCTGCTCCACACATGCCTAGATATCCAGTCCCAGATCTGGGCACCTGTTCCTCATTGCGTCATCCATTCCACCCCCAAGTCCCTCAGTCTGTCCTCCCATCGCCATGCCCACAGCCAGGCCCTAACTCACCTCCCTGCCCTTGCTCGATCGCCTCCCCACTTCCCCACCCCCACCTCTGCCATCCACATACCCTACAGTGCCGGGGTGGTCCTCCTTCCACAAACTGGATCAGGATTCTTTCCTATCTGCAACCTTTCTGGTTGCAGAATGTTCTCATTTGCCCTTCCAGGCCTTCTGCCCCTAGCACTGGCTTCTCTTATCAATCTGATTTCCTCTCCTCTCTCTACCTTGGCTCCATCACTACACTGTGACCACAAATATGGCTTGCCTTCCCCCAGGTGGCCTTTGGTGTCTCACTTTTGTGTGTGTGTGTGTCTTTTTGAGACAGGATCTCGCTATGAAGTTCAGGCTGGACTTGAGCTCACTTTGTAGCCCAGGCTGGTCTTGAACTCTCAACGATCCTCCTGTCTCAGCCTCCCAAGTGCTGGGATTACAGGCATGTGCCACCATGCCCGGCATGTCTCACTTTTTTGTCCCCAGGTATTCCATTTCTCCTACCTGCACCACCCCAGCCTACCAACATCAGACACCTGAGCATCTTGCTTGTGCAGGCACATGCTATGTGCCAGGAACAGTTCCTTCTCTCAGAGAACTACAAGGTTCCTTTAAGATCCAATATGGGGTGGTCCCCTAGCTGCTGGTCTGGAAGTTAAAGGTCTGGAGTCAGAGTCAAGACCTGCAAGGAGCCTGAGCGCCAGCCCCAGCCCTGCCCACCGACAGTCTCCATTTCCTGCCCACATCTCACTTTCCTCAGGTGTCTGGGGGTAAAGATGAGGTTCAAGGCCTTGAGCTTGCATGCACTGTGTCAGTGTAGTGTGGGCTGGGCCCTGGGAAGAGGGACCTCAGAGGGATTTCGGAGGTCAAGGACACATGAGCAGGACAGGAAAAGATGGGAGTAGACAGAGAAAACAGCGCAGGGGCAGGAGAGCAGGTAGGAGGAGGCTGAAAGGGGTGGGGATGCTGGCCAGGGGCTGCCTGGATCACCAGCCTCAGGGTTGGGATTCATCCTCTCCCAAGCTACTTGCTCATTTTACCAACCCCTCCTCTCTGGGTGGAACTCAGGGCCAGGGCACCCCAGGGAGTGGGTCTGTGGTAGCTCCTGGCTGGGTACTGGGCTGGACACACAGCCATGGGACCAGCTGCCACCCTCCACTTTCCAATTCGCTGCCCATCTGGAGCAGATGCAATATTTAGAGCCTGGTGAAGACGCTCCTCATGCACCTGCTGCCAAGTGTCCTCCCCCGCCTGCCCTGGGCTCTCCACGGGGTTCGTACTGCTGCCTGGCCCAGATTCTGAGCACCACTTTGAAAACCTGGGGCCACTTCCTACTCAGCTGCTTGGACACCGGGGGGCCAGCCTGTAGCCAGGCTATACCTGGTCTCTCCACAGCACTGCATTAACATTTCTATTTGGGCTGATCCCTGGTCCCCTGAAGAAGGCTGTGACCTGCCCACACACACCTGGCTTGTCCAGGGTAACTCTGGAGTGTGTGTGTCGGGGGGCAAATCCCAGCGGAAAACTGAGCCCATATAATCCAGGGTGCCCTGAAGGCTGTGAGGGCTCATAACTAGCTCCAGGTCCCCTGATGTGTTCCTCTTACTCCCCTTTGTCCTCCTCCTCTTAGAGATTGCCCTGTCCCAAGGGACCCTCGCTATCTCGAGGACCAGCTATGGGCTCCAGAGTTCAAGGTCATTTCCCCAACCATTTATATCTCAACTGGGGAAATTGAGACTTCAGAGAGGAGCTTTTGTAGGACCCTCAGAAAGTCAGCTGGCCAGGTCTAGGGGCCTCTTGCAGACAGAGGCCCACCCTGTCCCTGTGACTTGCCCTGTGAGAACAGTGCCCCAGCAGACACCTGTGTTTCTACTTGTGAGTGGTGGGTGGAGGGTCCAGAAGTGGGAATGGCCAGCAGGGCTGCTGCTAGGGCCGGACAGTATACCCCCTGCCACCCAGAAGTGGAGGAGGAGCTCCAGAATGGCACAGGTTCCAGCTTCCCAATTGGCAGCCTAATGCCTGTGAGGTTTGCCAGGCTCAAAAGACCAAGGACAGGTCTTTTTCACCCCCGCTGACACTGTGGGATGGCCCAGGACGGTAGAAACTCCTATTGAGTCTCACCCTGGAGCTCGGAGCCCAGTCTCCTACAGTGAAGCAGGGAAGCTGCCACCAGGGGTCAGCCATGACCCAGTGACTCAGATGAGGAGTGGGGCCCAGCCCAGCCCTCGAGCTTGGAGTCTTTCCATGGAGAGGGGCTCCGAGGAGAAAGGGTTAACAATCTGAGAGGCAGCCACACAGGAGTCCTAAACCATGTGCTCCTGACCTGAAAAAGCATATCCAACCCAAACACGCAATGATACACCTATGATTTTGGAACAGGACTGCAGAAAGTAACCCTCAGTGGAATCCCACCAGCCAGTGGAGACCTAGAAGGCGGGTGAGTGATGTGTGTGAGGGCACAGGGAATTTGTGTTTATGAAAAAGAAGCTGTGAGTTTTTTAAAAGTTGAGATTTTATCTTTTACAAGGAGCTCCCCGTGTCCCATCAGCGCTTCTCCATCCTAGGGGTGAATATGTGGAGATGTAAAAGCAGACACCAGACTATTTCCAGAGCCTACAGTGGGGCCTGGGAACCTGCACGGGTGATGTGGGCTACAGCCCCACCAGCCCCACTTAACATACTGCCACTGGCCCCCACAAGAGTTGCAGATAACAGGTAGAGTGTATATTTCCACAGAACAAAGGAGAGCTCGAGGCCCATGCGGGGGAAAGGCAAGGCACAGAGCCATCCAACAAGTGGTGGCAGAGCTACACTTGCTCACCCTCCTCTGACAATCTTTGATGACGGGGCCACTTCCCCATAGGAAAGGTCCCCCCGACCTCCAGTACCCCCTGTGGCCTTTGCCAGGGACAGAGGCAGCTGGATCCCTAAACTGACAGACCCATGCCACAAGCTTGGGCCAGCGAACAGGAGCTGGTGGGACCACTGCGACCCCAGCAGGAGTCCACACCAGTGTGAAGGCTGGCTGCCCACAGAAGGCCCAAGGAAACTCTTTCCTCGTGCCACCTCACCAGCCAGGCCCTCAGCCATGCCAACTGTCCAGGATTCGGGAACCAGAGGGGGGTACCATCCAATGTGTTTCTTGGGAGACCCAACCCCAAAATGCAGGAGCCTCCAGCGCTGGCAGGGTGAGGCGGCCCCTTTCCCTGCAGTCTCCCCAGCGCTGACCAGGGTGCTGGTGGGGACCTAACATGGAGCAGCTCCGCCCAGGAAGGGACGAGGTGGGTGTGCTCACTCTCCGAGGAAGTCACCTCATGGTTCCGAAAGACGCCCCAAGGGTGCCCCCCAACCTCGCAGCCCCCACGGCACATCACCCCAAACTTCACAGATGCCCAAGCCTGTCCCCCAACCTCTCAGAGCCTCGGGCCCATCCCTCAAACCTTGCAGACACCTGGGCTCGTCCCCTCAACCTGCAGATCTCTACCTTGTTACCCAAACCTTGCAGCCCCCCGCCCAGTCCTCCCAAACATCACAGACCTCGGATCCGTCCCCCGAGTCTCGCAGGCCCCTGGGCCCGTTCCCCCAGCCTCGATCCCACTCGGCCAGTCGGCCGGGACACTGTCCACCTGCTCCCAGTTCAGCCGTGCTTGGCCGCCCCGACCCTGTCCTCCCCGGAAGGACTCACCTCGCCCGAAGAGGGCGAGCAAGGAGAGGAGGACCAGCCCGGGCGCGCGCCGCATGGTGGGCGGGGTCGCTGGCGCGGGGCAGCCCAGGGCAGGCAAGGAGCGCGAGTCCCGGACGGCGAAGTCGGACGCGCGCTCCGCAGGCGCTAGGACCACGCGGAGAGTCCCGCGAGCCCGCCGGGCTGCAGTAGCGAGCCCCGCCCACTCGGGAAGGGGGCGGCCGGGAAAGCGGGGCCGACAACGAGGGGTGTGGAGGCCTGGAAGGAGGGGCGGGGCCTAGGGGAGTGGGAGGAGCCCTATGGAGAGGGCGGGGCCTGGAGCGTTGGGGTGTGGCGAGCAGGGCCGGGTGTGGCGAGCAGGGCCGGGTGTGGCGAGCAGGGCCGGGTGTGGCGAGCAGGGCGGGGTGGGGCGGGGCGGGACGCAGGGCTAGGAGGGAGAGGAGTCGGGTATGGGCCCCAAGGTGGTTCTGGAGGCCCGCCCGAGGGTCCTGCCCAGTGGCTCCCTGGCTACTTCGCAATGCTTAGGAGCTTAGCAAAAGTGTGGGGTCGGGAGGGTGACATCGCTCAGGGTCCCCTGGCCCGCTAGCGACCAGAGAGGGTGCGGAGGTACAGGGAGAGCATGGAGGGCCAACTGTCCGGGGGGCTCTGGCTGAGCGCTGGAACCAGTCGCGTTGCCTTGGGCTTGGGGACAGCACAGCAAGTGTCTGCAGCCCACCTCTGCACCCGCCCCAACTGGCCCCCAAGTCTGGATCCTAAGGGCCTTTCGGGGCTGCCTAGAGCCCCAGGGCTTTCGACCCTCCACCCCATGTCCTCCTTGGCCTGGCCCTCAGAGGCCACCCTCACATCCCAGAGACAGGCGGGGAGGGCAGGGTCCGGAGAGCGACATCTCTCTCCAGGACGGGAAGTCTTGCTTTCATTTTGTTTCCCCCAGCGTCTTCGCTCTAGAACCTGACATGTTGGCATCTGATATTAAAAAAATAAATGAAATAAAACAAAAATCCCAGCTGTTGAAATGGTGCTGGCTTTCCCGTGGGGATGGTTTGGAGAATTTAGGTTTGAGGCTCCTCTCTTCTCTAAACTTCAGCAATAATAGGTGAGAGCTATAAAGTAAATTCAAAAAGACATAACCAGGCCCCAAATAAGATCACATCTCCATGAGTCAGAAACGAAAATTAGAGGGACTAGGGACCAAAGCCGGAAGCCAAAGGCAGTGGCTGATCCTGTGGGATGGGGGGAGTGAAAGACTCGGCTTGAGTGTACCTTAAAACCCTGGAACAGTGCTGGGTGAGGGGAGCCTGCCGCCAGTGGGTTTTCCCTGATGCTCAGGAGCTTGAGGATGCTGTGGAAGCTGGTGAGTAGCAGTGGGAGGTTCAAGGGAGTGTGAGAGAATGTCACATCGCCAACATAAGCCACCTTGGAGCCAGGTGAGATGTTCCTGTAGAAGTTCCTGTAAGGGATGTCCTCAGAGATTGTGGGGACAAGTTAAGGGACACAGGCACTACCTTAAAGGGCCTCCACTAACCAATTTGGGACAGCTTGAGCATTAAAATAAACGGGGATAGTGATGAATTATTATTCATTAAGTTAAATAGGAATCTATTCTGAAGTGAAGTTAGAAATTTGATGAGAAGTGGAATGTTTATAGAATTTCAAAGGATCTCTATATAATACTTATTCACTGTAAGGGGAGAAGAGTTACCTCTACAGAGACCCTGGCAGACACCATTGTGTAGACAGAAGAAAGCCCCCAAAGATGTTCACATCCTAACCCCAGCATCTGTGAATGGGACCTTTTCCAGCAGAAGGGATTCTGCAGATGTGATTGTGTGACGGGGAAGATTTCCTGGATTATAGGGTAGCTTAGTCAGAGGAGTCTTTATAAGATGTAGGGGGGAGGTGTCAGAGTGGGACAGTGAAATATACAGAGGGAAGGAGGCTTTTAGTATGCTGTGGCTATGAGCAAGGTTGCCAAGGCAGCCTCTGGGACTTGCTGTGGCTTACACCTGGATGTCCCTCAAAGCCTTTTGGAAGGTGACTACAGCTGACTTGCTGTTAGAGCTGGGGTCCGGCAGAAGAGACTGTCTCCCCCCTCCCCCGACCACCCTCCTATTTCTCTCTGCTTCCTGTCTGCCATGATGAAAGCAGTTCTCCTCCCCCAGGCCCCTCTGCTATGCTTTTCCTTCTTTGGAGTCAGCTGAGCTCAGACTAAAGCATGAGCCGGAACATACTTCTCCTCCTGTCAATTGTGGGTGTCAGGCATTGTGTCTCAGCAATGAGAAACATGACTAGGGAAGAGCTGAAAGAGTAAGGAGTGAACTGTCACCTGGAGTGCTCCCAAAGGGAGCCAGCCCTGCTAAAAGTCTTGAATTTTAGCTCTGTAAGACTGATTTTCGATTTATGATCTCAGATGGTTTGATTTTTTTTAAAATTAAAGTTGTTTCAAGCCATTACATTTGTGGTAATTTGTTCCAGAAATAACAGGAAACTAGTATACCACCTTAATCAAGTGAGGAAAGTAACATCACCAGAAATGAGGGCAGTAGAAATTGGGGACCACCTGACAGGATGGGGAAGGAAAGATGCAGAGCCACTTCTGTGATATTTCTGTCAAAGACGTACGGCTTCGGTCCTGTCATGAGGGTATGCCAGACAAACCCAAAAAAAGAGATTTTCTACAAAATAACTGGTTGTTTTGTTTTTTCTTTTAATGTCAAGGTTATGAAAACTGCAGAAATACTCAAGAACTCTTCCAGACTGAAAGAGGCCAAAGAGATATCACAATAAATGTGCCATGTGATTCTGAAGGGATCCTTTTGGGACATTTGGGGACAACTGGCAAACTTAACAGGGCTAGAGGACTTGAGATATCAGTGTTATCTCCCTGAGGTTGAAGTGTTTATTTTGGCTCTCTAAGAGAATATCTTTGACTCCAAGTAATGTACACTAACATATTCAGAGGTGATAGGAGCACATTGTGTTGTGAATATACTTCCAAATGACACAGGGGGAATAAGCTGTTTTATGATACTAGCAGTTTTTCTGTAAAATTGAAATAAAGGAGCAAGGCTGGGCATGATGGTACACGCCTGGAATCCTAGCACTTGGGAGGCTGAGGCAGGAGGATTGCTATGAGTTCAAGGCCAACCTGGACTACAAAATGTGTTCAAGGCAAGTGTGTTCAAGACCAGCCTGAACTGCATTATGAAACTCTGTCTCAAAAAGACAAAAAAAAAGAAAAGAAAAGAAAAGAAAAGAAAGAAAAAAGTACTACAAATTGAGATTTGAAAACATGTGAAACAATCGAAGAAAGATAACCAATAAAATAATAAGTGAATTCACTGCAGATGAAATGTTTCTGTAGAAGGTTGACAATTTTTTTTTAAATAAAAGAAGAAAGAGGTACTAGTTACTTATTGAGGAAAGTATAAACTTGGTGTTTAGCTGGAACACAGATATGCAAAAAAAGCACATCATACACCAATCTGCCTTCTGGGTCTTTAACATCAGGAGGGGGTGTAAAGCAGTGGTTACTGCATGGCTTCCAGAGCCAGGAGTCTGGACTCGATTCTGGTGTCCATATCTACCTTCTCTGTGGCCTTCAGAGAGTGACTTGACTTTTCTGTGTCTTCATTTGTTCATTTTTAAGAGGGGAAAATAACCTTCATAGTAAGTCTCCGGGGTTGAAGTGAAATACTTAATGGGAAGCACTTTAATAGGGCCTTGGTCCTATAAAACCTAAATGGTAGCTATTACTATGAACATAGATTCTGAAATTCTAAATGGAATGATGATCAGTTGAATATATAGCAGTGGACACACATAGCAATGCATAATTGCAGAGTAGGTTTTATCCCAAGAATGTACAAGTGAGTCAACATCAGATCATTCATTCATGCAGTATACCTCCTTAACACTTAAATATCAACTCAGTGAAAACCATTGCTAGCCTAGCTTCCTTAACCTAGTAGACCTGGCAGTGATATCCCTAGGCAAGGTTATCTATCACCGTTTCTATTCAACATTGCACTGGAGGATCCAGGCATGTGTAAGTTAAACCAAGGAAAATTGTCATTTTCTTTTAGATCACAAGCTGCTTAACATCAGGAATGTGTATCACTCCACCTATACTAGAAGGGAAAATAAAAGTTAAGAATTGCAAAGGAAAAGTGCTCATATTTGCAACATGCTTGTAGAAAATCTAAAGAGTAATAATCCAACAAAGTATTAGGACTGGTAAAAAAGGAAGCAAGGTTAAAGAATTTAAGATCAACTTTTAAAACAAGAATTACCATTTGTATTCATCAGCGATGGGAAACTTTAAAATTCAATGGACAAAAAAAGATTCTGTTCACAAGCGTCACAAAGATCTGAGAATATATTTAGCAAAAGATACACCAGACCTTTCCAGAATGACATTGCTATGGTGTGACTGCGTCCCCCAGTTTCATGCGCTGGAACTTGGAGGCCAATGTGATAATACTAAGGGGCAAGGCCACTGACATTAGCACCCTATACACACATGGCTGGGAAGGAGTCTGTTCCCTCCACCCTTTCCAGCTGTGAAGACACTGCCTTTGTCCCCTCCAGCAAAGCAGGATGGAGATGCCTGGTTCCCCCCAAGACACAGCCCTGCTGGTGGCTGAGTCTGGGAACTCTGAGCTTCCAGAACTTTAAAAAACATGTTTCTGTTTATATATTTGTCAGTCTCAGGTATTTTGTTAGAACAACACAGGTGAACTACAGCAAATATAAAAACTACTCAGGGCCAGGCATGGTGGCACACGCCTATAATTCCAGCACTTGGGAGGCTGAGGCAGGAGGATCGTTGGGAGTTCGAGACCAGCTGGGGCTACAAAGTGAGCTCAAGGCCAGCCTGAAATGCATAGCGAGACCTTGTCTTAAAAAGACAAAAAATAAATAAATAAATAAATAAAAACTACTCAGGGACTTAAAAGGATTAACTAGGTGGAAATACATGCTGTACATATTATAAATAAGAGGGCAAAATAAAATAAATATCTCTCACCAAAATAGTTTATGAATTCAGTTCAATTCCCACACAAATTCCCATTTTTACATGGAATGTGACAAGCTGATTCTAAAATCAATGTAGAGATCAAGGGATCAAGAATAGACTAGGGCTGGGAGTATAGTTCAGTGGTAGTACATGTACTTAGTGGGCAAGAAG